AGAGAAATACATACGTCTCCCAGAGTTATCTTCTATAAGGGCACTTTAGTGACTAATTTGGCCAAATAAGTACAGACAACAAGCATCACACCAGCATATTTGAGAAAATAAAATGTTAATTCCTGCACATCAAATGCCAACAGTCTGAGAGGGCTAGTACTCACAACTGGGCAACCACTGAAAGGGATTAACATTTTAACACAATACTTCTTACTCCCCTCCCCAAGTCCCAGTGCAATGGCACACAAAGCAGGAGATAATACGTACCCTCAATCTCCCAGAGACTTGACAACAAAGAAAGCCAAGGGCATATGACAGGGCTAGAAATACACTTTGCAGGAAGGGTGGAATGAAAGGCTCTGCCTGACAGTGTTTGCTGGCTGCCCCCTTCTCCTAGATGGAAATGGTGATGGTATAGGCTAACAGATTCATACATTCTTATTTCCCCAGACAGACAGCTGTTGCCTAAGTGATACCCTGGTGGGTCACCACAGCCACAAAGCTCAGTACTGCTGCAGAGCATTCTACTGTTTGACAGCTTGATACAGGCACTGGGAAAAGGCTAGAGGGACCGTGGTTATCATCTTGAGCAACTTCACGAAGGCACACCTACCCAACAATATTTGACAAAGCAAGCTAGCAGAAAGTTCCTTTATTTCCATCCCCTAGGCCTACAAGTACCCAGCAATGAAATAAAAGACATTTCACATCAAGTGTCAGGATAGCAAAGAGTTACAAAAAACTCAACCCAAAGTACTTTGGAGTAACCTTCTCAGAGGCACACACACACTCAGGCTCTAAGAGTTGCCAAGCAGACCGTGGTGACTCAGAATCTGTACCAATTTGGTCTGTAAGTAAAACTGGGGGAAAAGATAGACAGAGACTTTTTTTTTTTTAATTTAGACAGGGTCTTACTGTTTGCCCCATGCTCATTTCAAACTCTTGAGCTCAAGTGGTCCTCCTGTCTCAATCTCCCAAAGTGGTGGGATTATAAGCTTGAGCCAGTGCCCGGCCTACAAACACATTTTATCTTCCACAGATATTTACTTTATCTTTTTATTTATTTATTTATTTATTTATTTATTTAATTTTATTTTTTTTTTGAGACAGAGTCTTGCTCTGTCAGCAGGCTGGAGTGCAGTGGCGTGATCTTGGCTCACTGCAACCTCCACCTCCTGGATTCAAGCAATTATCCTGCCCCAGCCTCCCGAGTAGCTGGGACTACAGGCATGCGCCACCACGCCTGGCTAAATTTTTTGTATTTTAGTAGAGACAGGGTTTCATCTTATTGGTCAGGATGGTCTCGATCTCCTGACCTCGGGATCCGCCCGCCTCAGCCTCCCAAAATATTTACTTTATTCACCCTGAGGAGTCAGGACTTCTTCCCTCACATTCTTTTTTTCTTTTTTTTTTTGAGACGGAGTCTCGCTCTGTCGCTCAGGCTGGACTGCAGTGGCCAGATCTCAGCTCACTGCAAGCTCCGCCTCCCGGGTTTACGCCATTCTCCTGCCTCAGCCTCCCGAGTAGCTGGGACTATATGCGCCCGCCACCTCGCCCGGCTAGTTTTTTGTATTTTTTAGTAGAGACGGGGTTTCAACATGTTAGCCAGGATGGTCTCGATCTCCTGACCTCGTGATCCGCCCGTCTCAGCCTCCCAAAGTGCTGGGATTACAGGCTTGAGCCACCGCGCCCGGCCAGCCTCACATTCTTATGTCTCTCATAAGATTGTTTACTATGTCGTAAGGAGCTTAATCCACATCCATTTCCTTAAAGAATTAGTTTTAATAAACTTCAGATATAAAAATAAATTTATTTTCTTAGAATTATAATTGGAGGCCAGGCACAGGGGCTCATGCCTGTCATACCAGCACCTTGGGAGCCCAAGGCAGGCAAATCACCTAAGGTCTGGAGTTCAAGACCAGCCTGGCCAACATGGTGAAACCCCATCTCTACTAATAATACAAAAGTTGGCAGGACATGGTAGCTCACCACCTGTAATCCCAGCACTTTGGGAGGCCAAGGCAGGTGGATCACCTGAGGTCAGGAGTTGGCCAACATGGTGAAACCCCGTCTCTACTAAAAATACAAAAATTAGCCAGATGTGGTGGCGGACACCTGTAATCCCAGCTACTGAAGAGGCTGAGGCAGGAGAATCACTTGAACCCAGGAAGTAGAGGCTGCAACGAGTTGAGATCGTGCCATTGCACTCCAGCCTGGGCAACAGAGCGAGACTCCATTTCAAAAAAAAAAGAAAAAAAAATTTACCCAAGCGTGGTGGTGTACACCTGTAGTCCCAGCTACTGGGGAGGCTGAGACAGCAGGATCTCTGGAACCCGGGCGGTTAAGATTGTAGTGAGCCAAGATTACACCACTGCACTCCAGCCTGGTTGGACTCTGTCTCACACACACACACACAAAATTTATAATTGGAAATTACTTGACATGTGGAAGAGGGTAAGAGAAAGAAAGAAGGACATCGAATTTCAAACTAATTCAAATGCTACCAAGTGCAGGGTACTATAGTAAGTGTTCTGGATACATTATTCACCATGAGTCACAACTCAAATGTATGTCACTCCTCAAGAAGTTTCCCTGACTACCCCTCTAAAATTGCCACCATGATGCATTCTCCTGATACCCTGCTTCGTTTTCTTTACAGCATTCAGCTATCAGTTATTACATTGAGTACTTAGTACAGAGGCAAAGGACTTAATCACTATTCACTGATAAGAACAAGTTGCTTATGAATTAATGAGTGTTCTCAAAATCGGACAGATTGTCAGAATAGGATCCATCGTAAGCACACAGATTGGAAGCTTTTTTCTTCTCTTCAAAATTGGCATGTAGCAGTTTCTGACACGTGATTAGTACAGTTGTCCCTTGGTGTCCATGGGAGATTGGTTCCAGGACCCACAAGGACACAAAAATCTCAGGATGCTCAAGTCCCTTATATAAAATCATATGGTATTTGCATACAACCTACACACATCCTCCAATATACTTTAAACCATCTCTAAATTACTTATAATATCTAATACCTAATAAAGACTATATAAATAGTTAACTGTACTTTTTTGTTTGTTTTTTGAGACAGGGTCTCGCTCTGTCACCCCAGGCTAGAGTGCAGCAGAGTGATCACAGCTCACTGCAGTCTCAATCTGGGCTCAAGTAATCCTCTCATCTTAGCCTCCCAAGTTGATAGGACTACAGGTTCACGTCACCACACTTGGCTACATTTTTCACTTTTATTTTTTGTAGAGATGGAGTCTCCCTATGTTGCCCAGGCTGGTCTCGAACTCCTGGCCTCAAGCAGTCCTCCCATCTGGGCCTCCCAAAATGTTGGGATTACAGAGGTAAGCTACCACTCCTGGCCTGTATTATTTTTTATTGTTGTATTATTAATGTATCTTTTTCCTGAATATGTTCAATCAGCATTTGGTTGAATCTATGGGTGTGGAACCTGTGGACAGAGTGTCAACTGTATTTGGTAAGTGATTCAGTGATGGACACTGAACAAATGGTCAATGAGAACCCTCTTAAATCTAGGGTATATGGTCCTAAGCCCGTCATTCTCTAAGGATCTGATAAGCTTAGACTACTGACAAGGTAAGGACACAACAAAAGTCTTCTCTAATGAGTGCTTGCTCCCAAAGCATTTACAGCATGTCATTTCCATACCCATAAGAGGAGAACTTGGCCAAGAAGAGAAAAGTACGTATAATGAGCCACACTGAGTTAAACAAAGCTGAACAAAGCATCAGGCTACAGAAGGAGAAGAGTTCTCATGTAATAACTACTCTTCTCTGGCAGAGCCTTCTTTTAAGATTCTGGGCCTGGCTGGGCACAGTGGCTCATGCCTGTAATCCCAGCACTCTGGGAGGCCAAGGCAGGCGGATCACTTGAGGTCAGGAGTTCGAGACCAGTCTGACCAATGTGGACAAACCCCATCTCTACTAAAAATACAAAACTAGCCGGGCATGGTGGCACATGCCTGTAATCCCAGCTACTCAGTAGGTTGAGATAGAAGAATCGCATGAACCAGGGAGGCGGAGGTTGCGGTGAGCCGAGATCGCACCATTGCAATCCAGCCTTGGCAACAAGAGCAAAAAAAAAAAAAAAGATTCTGGGCCCACTGTATTCACACTATTAAGTACAGGCAGTGGATACATTTTAAAAAAAAAAAAAATCAAACTACATTCCTGTTTCTTTTCCTACTTTACAGACGGAGGAACTGAAACAACTCGAAGAAAACAACTTTCCCCAAGGAAACACCGTAACAGGAAGGATTCTACCCATTTATAAATTCCTCCCAAAACTACCAGGCAGGGTTCAATTAAAGACATAGATGAAAAATCTAGGTGGCAAGCTGAATCACTCCAGATAGTTCAAACGTAAGGTGAGTACAGATTCTGATTCATCAGCTCTGACTATACGCAGCCAAGGACTTGAGTATGCAACTCCAACTGGCTAAGAACAATGATGAATGCAATAGACACCAACAATCCACTCCTCTCTCTTCCCTGATAGCTCTCTTTTGGAAGTAGTCCCTGCAGGCAGGACCTGATGCCATAGGAGTCACCATCTGAGGTCTTCACCCTAGGTCTGGGTGTAACTACTGACCTAGAATTTCCGTGCTAGGCAGATCCTTGGGGTCACAGACAATCAAGGATCATTCTTTGCATCAGGATTACCATCTCAGTTACACTCCAAGAGGAAACACTCCAGATGTGTCATTTTTCCCCCCCCAACTATTGTCTTTGGAATCTAATCCAAAAGCAACTGGGCTCTAGCTTTTAAAATGCACTCTGTGCCCATTAAGTTTTCTAGAGAAAGCTTTCCAGCCTTTTTAAAGATTTTCCTCACAATTGATGGTTGGAATGCAGTATGCTCCAAAGATAGACTTCTTGTACCTTTCCAAAGTGAAATCATTTGAAACCCTCCCTCCCCATATATAAAAAAATATATCCTTCCAGCATCATTTGACCGAAGTATAAAGCAACCTGGTTGGCCTCCATGCATCCGATGGCATCTTCCAAGAGTGAAAACTCCACGCAGACATAGCCATAGTCGTAACCTGGGGACAGCATTTAAATACAGACGGGAGTGGTGTTAGTGCCTTGCAAACACAAAAGACACACTTAAATCCCCTGTTTCTGAACCCCTTAAACACAAGCCCTCCCAACTAACCCGTCCCCCCCCTACACTAAGTAAAGTTGCTACCCCAAATAGAAAAAAGTACTGAAGGAAAGTCTCGATGTTTCTGGACTTTGAGATTCATTCCAAAATAGTCTTTTCTATTAACCAAGAAGATCCTTTGCCCTCTTTAGCACTGGTGATCTGGTGAAGGTACCCCAGAATTGGGTAATCCCACAGAGAGTTCATGTGGGGACCCGAAACATTTTAACCACAGGCTAAATCTTTCAGAAAAACAAAGTCGACAAGAGCAAGAAAGTATCTAGAAAAAAAAAAAGTATCCCGAAAGAAAAAAAGCAAATATCCCCAGGCTATGCTAATAGTCACCACTTTTCAAGCAGAAACCACCTTCAAAGACAGAAGTGCTGACAGACTGAGGCAACTATTCTGTTTGGATACCACAGGAGGCTTCTGGTTGGCAGGGGACAGACCATTTCAGGTCTCCTCTTTCTTTCCTTGTTTCAACTCAAGTCATAAACCAGCTAAAATCTTTATAAAAGGAAGAAGGTGTAAAAGCATAAATAAGTACAAATAACTGTGTCCAAATTTGTGCTTATGCACAAAGACTGGTGGTGGGGCAAGCTGGGAGAAAGACAGTAGTTGTTAGCAATCAATACATGTTTAAGAATTGTACAAACCATTAGAGCTATAAAATACCCTTCACCTTACTCCTAAGCAAGTGTCACTTGCAGCACTTTGGGAGGCCAAGGCAGGCGGATCACCTGAGGTCCTATGATCCACGAGACTGGGAAGTCCTGGGATTTATAGGTTGCTGAACTCGAATCTAACCAGTTCCTGTAATTTCCCTGATACTGCCACCATGTGACTACAAAAATAAACTTGTCAATGCAATGCTCCCCATGTGGTTTCCATGCTTCCTCCACTGCCTCAGAGGATAAAGAAGCTCATCTCTAAGAATGACACTGTGTAAATGGAACAGCAAGAAAAAGATGTGATGTTCAGATGAGAAACAAAACTCAGGCAAAGAAAAACACAAAACCCTATGATAATTTTGACCACAAAGTATATATAACCATAGGAAACTGATATCACTGAATCAATGTATCAAAGATCAATAAAACTAGAGCAATAGAAAGTATAAGTTTAAAAACATACCACATTTGGTGAAATGAGTTAAAATTCCTTGTCACATGAAATGAATGGCTTTAAAATGTTTTACTACTAATAATAAACTTTGATTTTAGACTTGTTAAATACTCCAAGTTCACTATGAAACATTACAATGGTATGGGTTGATCCTTGCTTCGAGTTTCAGAAAATGACTAGGAAGAAGAAAAACAATCTACTAGAAACCTCAGCACTACTGTAGGATGAGAAACAGATTTTCTAATCTACTTTCACGACTTTGACCAACATGGATTAAAACTAACCCCTCCAAACTTACCACAAAATCAGTCTCCTCTGCTTAATAACTCTGAAGAAATAAAAGTACTTTAGAGAAACAGCGTGCATATCCTATTAACAATGGAAACTGTTTTGTTACTTAATTCCTTTCAAGTGAATCTTCTTGGTCAAACTCAGTGAACTCCTAATACATAAATCACTCTGCATTTTATAAACAATTCTGAATATTCTTGGGAAACATTATAGAATAACAGAAGGAACTAAGACACCTGTTAGCACCAAATATCCACTGCAAACACTCAAATGTATGTCCACAATCAGAAAGGGTTAGCCACGGAACAAGCAGGTGTACTCTCGAGTGTGTTGATTACTTCTACAGAACATATCAGTGGAGTACCCAGATGTGTGGAAAGCAACCCTCCCCATAGCTGCCCGGATGAAAAACATAGGGAACAAACACCAAAACTGGCAAAGCTCTAAGTTTCCTTTCTGTGCTTAAAGAAGTAACTACTGTGGCCCAGAGACGCACACAGAAACTGTGGACAGAGAGAGAAAAGATTCATGACAATGTTCATACTTTGCTAAAGGACAAGTAGACACTGGGAAGAAAAAGATACAGAAAACATTATGGGAATCTAATATAGCATTTCTAGACATCAACCCTGCAATACCGTATGTTGACAACATACTTCAGATTTAATATTATATTCACAAGCCCAACACTAAATTTATTCTGACTGAAACTTTAGCTATCAAACAAGAACAGAAATTTAAGGTTTAACTATACTGTCTAAAACGTTTACAAAAAAAAAAAAAGGTATTTTGTGTGTTCAAGACTCATGGTTGTGCCATAAGGATTTTCAGCAATTAGAAAAATAGACAATGAAAGTAAGTAATATTTACATAGAACTTGTTGGTTCAAGATTTTATTCTAAATACTTTGTATATACTGATTTAATATTCACAATACTATCTTATGAGGTAAATATTATTAGCCTGATTTTAGCCATGGAGAAGAAGGCAAAGAAAGGATAGATAAATTGGTCAAAGTAACCAAGTAAATACCAATACTGAGTTTTAAATGCAGTCCAGATTCAAGTTGATGTTTTTAACCACTACACTCTAGCCTCTCACTCTTCAACAAGATCACAGACTAACTTAAATAATCTTAATTCTAAACTCTACAAGCTCAGTTACAGAAAGAGTCCCATATGCCTGAAAACATACATCTATGCCCCTGTTAATAAGCCTAGTTAAGAAATATTCAACTTAGCAGCATAACAGTTGCTTCTATTTTAAAATATCTATGGCAGAACTATTGTGAGTAGACCTGAGTATGCAAATTAGAAAGCATTCTCAGGAGCTGATTATACCAGTTCCCAAAATTCTTCTGAAAAGATGAAAACTAAAATGTCCCGTTATAAATGACGGCTACAAAAATTGTATAGCAATATGGAAAGATACTTGATATAGTATATTTTAAGAGCCTTAAAAATGAACATACCCTTATGGATAATTATGTAAAATGTATATAGGAAAAAGGACTGGAATTAAATTGCATCTAACTCAGGGGTTAAAGACAAAAGTCAGCATGTGAGATAAAAACCATGCACTGTCAAAATCATACTTGAAGACCCCAAGGTGAAGAACAACATACCATCTTTCAATTTAGGTAAGTCCAACATTGCCAGTTTGTCCTCCAGCGCTGCAACAAATCACTTTTCCTTTGGTTGACACCAGATGAAGAGGTTGGCTTGCATTTAAGGGCCATAAGGTATGAAAATATATTGCTTTAAATAACAGAATCACAGCCAGCACAGTGAATGCCCACTCAGAGAAACTTAGAAAAGGAAACAAACTGAAGCCACAAGCAAGTCTCATCCCCACTGCCCAGGCTCACTCCAGGAGTGAGAAAACAGGGTGTGGGAAGTGGGGAGGGGATACAGTTCAAATGAGCACAGGTGGACATACAAAAATCAGAAAATTCACATAATGCAACACAACTGCATACAAAAATGATTACAGTGGTTGTATTGCTGTAGTGGGATAATCAGGGATTTTTTTTCTTTATTTCCCAAATGTAATTTTACAATTCACAGAAAAGGCACAGAAGATATTCTACCCAGAGACCTAAACATTCTGCCCACCAACCCTGAGATCAGAATTGCTAGGAACCATATGGAATCATCAAGATGGTAAACTCAGTGTTAACCTTCTCATGGACAGATTTATTTTTACCAATGAGAGTAACAAAAAATCTACTTTATTACCCTTTTCTTCCACTGTCACGTGCTGGAAAGAAGGATGGAGGGTCTTTGTGCTTATTTATATGACTATTACAAAACATAGCTAACTAAATTTTCTAACCTAAATTTACAGATCTCATAGAAATGTGAATACTCCTTATACTTTTCTTTTTTTTTTGAGACGGAGTCTTGCTCTGTCATCCAGGTTGGAGTGCAATGGCACACAATCTCAGCTCACTGCAACCTCTGCCTCTTGGGCTCAAGCAATTCTCCTGCCTCAGCCTCCTGAGTAGCTGGGACTACCACACCCAGCTAATTTTTGTATTTTTAGTAGACACGGAGTTTTGCCATGTTGGCCAGGATGGTCTCAATCTCCTGACCTCATGATCCGCCCGCCTCGGCCTCCCAAAGTGCTGGGATTACAGGCGTGAGCCACCGCACCTGGCCGGTTTAATTTTTTAAAATGGGCTGGGCGCAATGGCTCACATCTGTAATTCCAGCACTTTGGGAGTCTGAGGCAAATGGATCACTTGAGGTCAGGAGTTCAAGATCAGCCTGGCTAACATGGTGAAACCCTGTCTCTACCAAAAAAAAAAAAAAAAATTACCCAGGCATGGTGGCGGGTGCCTGTAATCTCCGCTACTCAGGAGGCTGATGCAGAAGAATCACTTGTATCTGGGAGGTGGAGGTTGCCAGTGAACCAAGACCGTGCCACTGCAGTCCAGCCTGGGAGACAGAGTCAGACTCCATCTCAAAATAATAATAATAATTTTTAAAAATGAAAATACAACGTTTTCTACACATAGCACAATGTACTGAACTGAGACTAAGAACAATCAATTATGAATTATACCAGCAAGGTATAAGTACCAATCAGTGGGCTGTTAACGTTTTTGCTGAAACTTTGAATATTCTCTGTACTTATGAAAACACCTTTAAGAAATCAATATTTACATGACTTAACCAATTTTCAAAAAGGTTTTTTAAAATTGATATAATTTACCACGCATGGTGGCTCACTATATAATTCCAGCACTTTGGGAGGCTGAGGCGGGAGGATCACGAGGTCAGGAGATCGAGACCATCCTGGCTAACACGGTGAAACCCCGTCTCTAATAAAAATACAAAAAATTAGCTAGGCGTGGTATGGTGGCATGCACCTGTAGTCCCAGCTACTTGGGAGGCCAAGGCAGAAGAATCGCTTAAACCCGGGAGGCGGAGGTTGTAGTCAGCCGAGATCATGCCATTACACTCCAGCCTGGGGAATGGA